CCCACAAAGGTAGAAAATGAGCTCATTTTAAGTAAAAACACCATGACCACCATCCAGCCATGTTCCATGAGGGCAGGGCTTTGTTTATTTGGCATTGGTTGAATTTCTAACACCAAAAATGGTGCCTGGCACATAGTAGGTACTCAGTAAATACTGTTCAGTGAATGAATGACCCATGACAGATCCAGCCGAAAAAAAGAAGAAATGAGCAAGAATTTATTGAGCTGGGAACTGCCTTCAGTACCTACTGTGATCACTGTCATTTAAATATTAAATCAATGAAGTATATATACAAAGCGTAACTACTGTTATATGGAGATGTCAATATGAGTTACAAAGATAAGATTTCATATAGAATTCATTGACCTTTCCAATGTAAAATGGAAAGTGTGTCCATGTGTGAATGAATTTAATATAATGGAGAAGATGAAGGAAGGCATGTTTAATACAAAACATTCCTCATTTCACATGGAGTAATTCAGTAAAACATGGTATCAACTGAAATTTTATTTGATTCCGGAGTGTAGACCCCAAGTCTGAGGTTTTTTATTTCACTTTCTGCCCATAAGTCAATCACCAAATCACACAGAAAAACCATCAACTAAATAAATTTAGGGGTCTTTTTCCCCCCAGGTTGGGATTTTTCACTGCACTTAGTAACTTCTGAAAACATTTTTTTTCTTTTAATGTTTATTTATTTTTGAGAAAGAGAAAGAAAGAGACAGAGCTTGAGCTGGGTAGGGGCAGAGAGACAGGGAGACACAGAATCCAAAGCAGGCTCCAGGCTCCTAGCTGTCAGCACAGAGGCCGACGCGGGGCTCAAACTCATGAACTGTGAGATCATGACCTGAGCCAAAGTCAGATGCTTACCTGACTGAGCCACTCAGGTGCCCCATCTTCTGAAAACATTTTAAGTGATAGTGGACAGCCCAGGTTTTTGCCAGCCTAATGTTGTTGTTGTTGTTACATTTATTTATTTTTGAGAGACAGAGTGTGAGTGGAGGAGGGGCAGAGAGAGAAGGAGACACAGAATCTGAAGCAGGCTCCCAGCTCTGAGCAAATGTTCAGCACAGAGCCTGATGCAGGGCTCGAACCCATGAACCGTGTGATCATGACCTGAGCTGAAGTCAGACACTTAACCGACTGAGCCACCCAGGCGTCCCACCAGCCTAATGTTATACACGCAATACAAATGTATACTAGCAAATAAGCTTAAAGGTCAATAATAATAATAAAAAAAGGTCCCACACAAACTCCTCACCCCTTGCCTGCATGCTTCAGGTTCACGTTTTCGCGATGCATCCTGGTGTTTAAAAACCCACACAAAAATGAGAAAATTCAGAACATTAACTACTAATAATGATGAAGCTGGCTGCCATGTTCTGAACTGCCACCTGTGTGCCAGACACCCATTCACATGCTTACTCCCTGTATGTTTGCCCTTAGTCCTGACAACCAATTTGAGAGTAAAATGTGATTACTGCTGCTTTCCCCATTCGGAGATGAGGAAACTGAGGCTCACGGAGATTAACTAGTCCAGGACAAAATAAACAAAGCAACCATGATTTAGGTGCTGTCTGTAGAGATCTTAAGAACTAGGACAGAGCTGCCTTTTTGAACTTTTATTTGCTTTACCTGACTACCTTCTATCAGAAGTTCAAGCATAAATTTCAAAAACAATTTTAATACTAATCAAATGTGCACTCAAAAATATAATCCTTTTCGTTTCCAAAGAGGGAAAATATATGACACTCTCCAAGGGAGGGAAAATGGTCCTGCCTGTCCACAGACATGGGAACTCAGCAAGCCTCTGGCCCAGTTCCAGCTGTACTGTATATGCTCTTCAGACACTGTTGTTCCTAAAATAAATACCCTGGTGCTCAGGTTAAAAACAAACAAAATAAAATGTAACCTACAAAGCAGGTCATCTGATTCAATGCGTTAGCACCAAACCCTATACGAAAGCAAGTTAAAAGGTTCCTCACCTGTGGACCAAGAATGATCGCAAGAATTTTTCTACCTCCTGAGAGTTCAACAGAGAGGCAAACTCCACATTAAATGATACAGGTGTCTCCTCCCCAAAGTTGAGTCCTCGCTGGGGACTCAGGACTTGAGAGATGGCCAACGGGCAAAGCACAGGTTTAGAGGTCAAACAGCTTGAGTTCCAATCCCGACCTTACACCTACTATGTAAATGTGGACAATGTTTTTTAACCTAAGATCTCCAATTTCCTCCTGGCAGTGGGAACTGTCATGGCCACCCTAAATGGATACTGTGATGGTCCCACGGGGTAACACCGGGGAAATGCTTGCCCACTTCCTGGTGCCTAGTAGATGGATAAGAGAAATCAAATTTTCTTCCTTTTCCAGAAGGACCCTCTTCACTGGTGTGCTGGGGCTAACTCACACTGTCTTATGGAAGGTGTCTAGTAAATTTTTAGGAATTCAGTAGGCCAGTTATTAAATATGGTCACTACTGAAAATTAAATTAAACTTAAAAGTTTTAAAATCATATTAAAGACAAAGGGGGTAAACACTCAAAGCTCATCACTTGCTGGTTTACCTCATTTTACTATTATCTATGCTCTTGAGGTTATGCCTGTTGTCTTTTAGGCAGTGGAAATACTACCTAATGGTGACCTTTGGTATATCTCCTCCAACTCCATGGTCAGTGATATCACATTTGTAGCCTGAAATGAGCCAAAGTTGGAGTATTTACATGAAAACTAGTGAACACTACAGGTCAGGTTCCTGTTTTGGGAGAGCGAGGTATTAAACATTCACCAGCATCCCCTTTGGTATTCATATTCCATTGCATCTCTCTCTGCTGCCGTCTTTCTTCTCTCTACGTCTGCAACTCTCTATCTACATACACACACGTCCACTGAATTTAAAAGAAAAATGAAAACGAAAGCCTAACACCCCTCCAGATAACATCCTTTTCCACTATTCCTTCACTGTCAAATTTACTGAAAATGTTCTTTCTGTGAATCATTCCAATACTTTCTTACCATCAGATCATTTACTTAATCATCTCACAATATTTATTCATTTCACAATATTTGTTCATCTCACAAATATTTGAGCAATTACAATTATCCAGACACTATGAAAGTAACTGGGGACACAAATGGAAGCAAAGCCCAACATGGTCCTTCTTTCAAAAGAGTCACATTTTCAAGTCCACCTTGGAAGTCTCCAATATTCTATTAATTCTTCTTTTTTCTCCTTCTTGGCCTTTCCTTAAAAAATTTACAATTTCCCCAAATGCTGTCTTCTTTTCCTCCATCAAAAAGTCAAGATTTCCTCAATGTTTTGACTATCTTCCTTCTTTCTCTTTAGGAATTTCATACATTTCTGTGATTTCACCCCACCCCTAACTCCCAGAAAAGCTATTTCTCCCCTGGCCTTCCTCTCTCAGTAACTGGCATCACCATCCACCCATCTATTTTAGCCAGAAACCCTAAAATCCACATTTCCTGCCTTTCCCTTACCCTCCTTCACCCCAAGCATCAGCTAGTCCTATGGGATCTATACCCAAGAGATGTCCCAAATCCAACACACTGCTTCATCCCAGTCCCTGTCACCTTAGCCGGGATCTTTCTTTTTCACTCAATCTGTATAAAAGCCTCCAAACCCTCCTCCTTGCTCTACTCTTGCCCCCTCACATCATGCACTATGACAAAGCCAGGGAATATTTTTTTAAGAGAGAAATGTAATAATTTCTCCCCACACTTAAACAAACAAAAAACCTTTATTCCACCCAGAATAAAGTCCAAAGTTGATTTCATGGACAACAGGACCCTTTATTATCTGGGCCTACCCCTTTCCTGACCTCTCCCCTTCCTGACCTCGCCCCCTTCCAATGCCCACTTGCTCATTCCATGGCCTGAGCCCTCTGCCCAGATCTGGCAGGTCTTTGCAGGACTAGCTCCTCCTGTCATTCTCAAGGATTCAGGAGGCCTTCCCTGACCAACCAGCACAACTTTGGCCAGGCCAGGCCAGCCCACTGCTCTCCATCACTCTCCATCACTCTGTCCATTCCTTGGTGGTTATCTAGTATCTGTCTTCCTCTACTAGAAAGTCAGCTACACAGGAGCAAGGACCTTGTCCTCCTTATTCACCAGGACGTCTCTGGTGCCCAGAACAGTGCCTGGCACATGAGAGATGCTCAGCAGATGTGTTGATGAATGAAGCAAGATCCAAAAATAAAAAGAAAGAAAGAAAAGAAACAGGCAAAGGCAGAAATAATTGGAAACTAAGACCCTGAAACAAGAGTTTTTTGGGAGCACAGAAGAATAAGAACAGCAATCTGAAGTGGTAAAGTGCTAATAGGATGAATCTAATTTCCATCTTTATTAAATTCTAACTTGCCCATGGCTTGAGCTATTTTAGAGGCAACCTAATTTAGTCAGTACCCAATCTGATAAATCCATGTTAATTTTCATGGCTAGGTCAAAATATTCGTAAAAGGAAAGAACACCCCGTGCTTTAGAAAAGATTTTCCTGCATTCTCAAAAACATTTCTGAGAAGCAGGGTCCCCTGGGCTTCCTCCCATACCTATGCTGGAATAAATTCCTGTCACACACAACGAGCAGGGGCAGTAAGCAGGGGGAGGTGGAGTGATTCCTCCCCCAGAAAACTGAGGGTACCAGCTCTCCAATGCAAGGCTCTTCCACTGGGGACACAGTAAAGTGTTTGTCCTTCTTAACTGAGGCTTCACAGACCTACATCTCACCCCGTGCTTCCAAATCAAGGCAGAAAGCAGGGCTTCTACTTGCTTCTTCTAGCTACTCCTTTTTTATTTAAATCTAATACAGGGAAAAGGGAAGAAGGGACAGGAAGAGGGAGGAAGGGAAAGAAGAAGGGAGCTAGGGAAACAAGGAGAGAGAGATGGGAAGTCAGAAAAAACCCACTCAGCATTTACTTCTCCCACCAACCTATGCTACACCAGGTGGTGCTGGACGGCGAATACGGGCGTGGGGAGCCCAGCTCAGTACCTCATCATGGACCACACAGCTCCAGGAGACACTGGGAATCCACTGCTCTTGGGTTCTTGTGGCAATGGCGAGTGGCAGCCACCCCAAGCTCCTCGGTGAGGAAATCGATGCTGCTTCCCATTCTCCCGGTGAGGCTGTGTGGGCAGTGCCGGGGGCGGGGGACTCCCAGGCTGCTGCGGGCTGCACTGATGGACGACCCCGTTGCTCCTAATTGTGCACATGGAATGCAGCAGAAACAAAGTCAGACAGAATGACAAGGTTTGCAACAAGAAATAGCAGTCCACTGGCCCACTCCAAAGTCTTGCTCCCTGGAAGCAACCATTCTCAAGTCTTTCCACTCTTTTGTTTCTGGTATGCATCACATAACTTTAAAAATAGCAACAGGAGAACATATTTCTTTTTATTTTAGCACTTATATTGACTTACTATAGAAGACTAGGATTCGGTCCCTCTCGCATGGTCACTAACACACACACATGCACACCTTCTTCTGCACCCTTCACCCTCCAAATATAGATTTCTTTCAAAATATTTGGTTGAAGTGATGTTCAGGATTTACATAATTTTGATCTTATAAAATACTGCTCATAGTTGATCCATCCAATGTACCCTGATTACATTTTCTTTCATGAATCCTCTGAGACACAGTTCATAATCACTGAAACAGAAATTTAAACACCTGATATCACCGAGTGATGCCCAGCATGTGGGAAAAAGCAAAGGGGATTCTCAGACACTGTTACAATCATTTCAGGAGCAAGGCCTCAGCATGGGCCACAGTGAACATGCATCTATACATGGTCCCAGCAACTCCGCTCCTATGGTTATGCCTGGGAGAAACTCACAAGTATTTGCGCACACACAAAATCCATTGCAGCATAGTTTATAATAGCGAAAATTGTGAAAATTGCCTAAATTCCAAATCCAGAAAAAAATAAATTGTGATAATTAAATACTATACAACAGTTAAAATGACTGTACTACAGTTAAAGCATTAACAATGATGAATCTCAAAAGTCTCAAGGTTACACAAAAAGAAAAAGCAAGTGATACTATTTGTATAAAGTTTGAAAATATGTTAAAAGATACATATTAAGTAATGGCATAAAAATCATAGAAATGAAAAGTGACAAGTTCAGGATTATGGTTACTCCTACAGAAAGAGGTAGGGACAGGAGTCAGGGAATGTTATTCTGCATATTGGAAATTATATCCAATTATCTAGAAAAGAAAGAAAAGTAAAAAGAAATTTCACTTTCAGAAGCTGATCTTTCACTGAAAATATTTCTTTCTAAAGGTGATATCAAATCAAAGAAATCCCATTCCATTCCTATGGTCTAATACTAAAATTTAGGAAAAAAATTGTTCTTCATGTAAGAAAGTCTTCCAACATTTGTTTCTGTTACTGTTTCTTTCCTGCTGCCTGGATCATATGATAAAAGACCTCAAGAACAACCTAATACCAAGAGGTTTATCCTAAATGAACAGATCAGTGGCGCCTGGGTGGCTCAGTCAGTTAAGCATCCAACTTCGGCCCAGGTCATGATCTCATGGTTTGTGGGTTGGAGCCCTGTGTCGAGCTCTGTGCTGACAGCTCAGAGCCTGGAGCCTGCTTCAGATTCTGTGACTCCCTCTCCCTGCCCCTCTCCTGCTCATGCTCTGCCTCTGTCTCTCAGAAATGAATAAACATTAAAAAATTTTTAAATGAACATTTTAAAGTAGAAGGAGAGCCCTAAGAATTTGTGCAAAACTGTGTGTATGTACATGATTCTGGGAAAAGGGGACACAGTTATGTGAATTTTCAAGAGTCATGATCCCTATTACACTCAGAATCTCTGAGCTGACCTCATGGTAAAAATGTTAGCTCAGGTCTTGAGCCGCAGGTATCCTGGAAGGCGTCTAAGTCTCTGCTCGGTGTTTCTTCCATGCAGGCAGGGGTGCTCAGGGGCAGGCCAGTGGCTCTGGAGTCACACAGAGAGGGGTCCCAATCCTGGCTCCACCTGGGGTCGGGTAACTCTGGAGAGGTTACCTTCTGCGATTCTGTTTTCTCCTCCATAAAATGAGGTTAACAGTGATTGTGGGCATTAAGTGACTTCAAATCTGTGAATGGTGCAGCACAGTGCCTGGCACGTGGACAGAACCCAAGAGATACTAACCACTATTGGCCAGGCCTCCCTGGTGCATGCTCTCCGTTCCTTCCTAGCACTTTCCACAACTGTAAGCAGTTACTCATGGAATTACTTATGCAATGTCTGTCTTCCCTGATACTGTATATGCCCTTGGAAGGAAGAAATCTTCCGTCTCCTTCTTGGCCAGGCACAGAACGAGTATGTGTTGAATGGGTGGAGAAAAGGATGGAGGAAAGAATGAGTCTCCGCTTATGCAGAGCTGCTGGTGTGAGAGCCAAAAGTTGCTAAAAAACAAAGCAGAGGTTATGAGTTTTCAACTTCTGAGCTACATATCAGGAGTATGATTTCTCCCATAGAACATCAAACGGGTTAGTATAATGAAGGCCAGAAACAATTATTAAAGAAATTAAAGAGACAATCATCCCTTTTGAAAAAGGCCTGGCTCAACAGTGATCAAATGAAAAAGAAGGTTGTATACAGGCAATGGTGGGCTGCAAAGTCCGGAGCCGAGAGGAGACACGACTTCAATGGTGAAGTTAAAATCCCTCTGGACTGGACCACAGGGGAGGGTCTGAAGTCAGCTTTCTGTTATCAGCGAGCAAAGCAGATAGGGGTTAGGAGGCGGAGACAAAAAAGATGCAAGAAGAAAGTGGGAAGCAAGATGAGTTTGATTAGGTTGTTCTGTAAAAAGTAAGGCAGGCACTGCAATTACTCCCATTCGTTGAGAGGTTGTAGAGGAAAAGCATTCTAGTATAAGCCAAGGGGAGGTCCTCTGGCTCACAGCTTTCTTGGCAGGAGCTTAGGTCAAAATGATAACTGAGCTCCTTCCTTTTACACGCCTCTGAGATTTACAGAGAGCCAATAGAGCACTAAAGTCTATTTAAATTATCTCCAAGCACGCCCAGGCAGGAAGGTGATCAGAATTTAATGACTCATCTCAGCTTGTTGCCACTCAATAACACTGCTCTTATCTTTATGTCAAGGAGTATAATGAGATAGGGAATGGGATAAAAAGGCAAGATTTTTTTAAAGCTAAAATTCTTCATCAGATAATGCAGAAGAATAAATCAACCACATTTTTTAAGAGTTGAAAAGTAAGGGCCTTATAATTACTGAAAAATGGGGTCTGCATGTCAAAATGTAAGTAATTATGGATTTGATGATAGAGAAAGAAAAATATAGTATGTGCTTCAACTTTCAATAGGCCATAGCATTCTTTCTTACCATCTATAGTCTACAGGATACAATGAATATGCTTAAATTCTTTTTTTTTTTTTTAACGCGCTTACATTCTCTAAGTGAAAATGGGCTCCTAATTAAACTTGACCTTTAATTTGGATATAACAGGCGAGTATTCCTTTTGTGGAATTCCTAAAGGAGACTCCCAAAATTCTTAAGTAACAGCATCATCTCTAGAACGAGTAAGTAGTTTCCAACTTAGCAGTGCTTTTTGACGGGTAACACTCATTTGAATGCAGGGATTCAAGGCAAACCATTAAAAAAAAAACAAAACTGTTATCACTTGCAACCGCTTCTCTTTGTGAATCAAGGTCTCCATAGCATGCAACGAAAACAATCTAGCAATATAAACCTGTAATCGGCATGGATACTCACCAATTCCAAATTTGGGGCTCCCAAAATCCTTAGGGTCCTCACTGATTTTTATAAAGTGTGAAGAGTTTGAACATATCTAATGCATTTATTTTAACAAAACGAGCCTTACTAACTTATGGGCCAAGGTGAGGTTACATTTAACAAAAGGGTATACTTTTTTTTCTTTTTTAAGAAAATTTGAAAGCTATTGATCTAAGCAATTCTCTGCACATGCTCTGCTTGACAGCAAAACTTTAAAGTGACTTACGATTTCTCTTGCTTGTGGGATAGGGAAAAGAGATCATAAACCAAGCACACCCCAAACACCGTGATGCCGGTCTCCTTCACCAGCATCGCACAGGTCCCCAGAAACAAACTGAGCAGCAAGAAGAAGGGAGAAGCCGTGGGAGGGAAACATTCCACAACATGACGCTGGTCCACACTCCTGGAAAACAAGATTGAGATGCTTTTAATCTAAGAAGAAATATGGGTCAGTGACAAACACCAACTTTTAAAAATATGATTTAACTCTGTTTCATCATATTCTAAGTAGGTGAACAAAGATTTCTCCATGAATATTCATCAGAGTTATTTAAAATTGCAAAGAGGAAAAAAAGTAAATGTCCAACAACATTGGACTTTGGTATGTAAATTAAAATACATATAAATTATGATAAAATATGGCATATAACAAATGGACACACACACACACACAAAAATCACTTTAAATGCTAACATAAAGATACAGTTAGTGGCATGGAAGGATATTTAGTCAATATGTTTTAAGTCAATAATACAAGTTAGCAAGCCTCATAACATGACCTCTGGAGCCAGGTTCCCTGGGTTCAAATCACAGCTCTGCAGTTAACTAACAGGGTATTATGGGGCAGGTTAGTATGCCTCTCTCTGCCTCAGTTCCCTTATATATGAAATGGGATCACAGTATTGCAGGCAGGAGTACATAAATGACTTCTCACATGTGAAGTGGCTATCACATCATTATTCTTCTTCTAGTGAAAGTGTTTCATATGCTTCTGTTCACAAATCAGTCAGTGGATGTATATAATCCTGATTTTTCTCTGTGATGAAAATGCAGATGTTTTGGCCTTTTCCTTTTCTTCTGGTTAATTTGTATTTTTAGATTTATTTTCCAAGGGGATGTATTAGGTAAAGTGGTATATTTCTCAGTATAATTTCCAGCAGGGATTTCTAAAAATCTCCCAGAGCTATAAATCCTTTTTTCACTTTACAACAGAATCAGCCCCCACCAAAAAAAAAAAAAAAAAAAAAAAATCGCTATTTCTTCAGTAGGCACCACACCCATTTGCCCCAATCCTCTGAAGCAACGGCAAATATTTCTGTAGCTGTGACACCTTACTCTTACTGTTACGTCTAGGAACAATCACCCAAATTATATGCTCTATGTGCAGCAGATACTCATTTTCCTCTGAAGGTGATCTAGAGCTTACGTTGCTAAAAGTGCAAATGGCACGCACAACAGAAACTGTAACACCGCGACTCATTATCACACAGGTGATAATCACGAGGCTCTGTAAGATGGTAGGCCATCAAACTAAGCCAAAGGTCAAAGCTCACAAACCCCTAACCAGACATCCCTCCACAATGTAGGGTAACAGGATTCACTCACCCCTTTTCTGGGCCACCATCTGAGCCATCAGCCCCACTCCCATTGTCTTTTCAACCTATCCCTTTCCCTATGTGGCCAAGTCATAACTCAAGTGAGAACCTGCATACGTGGAGGAGAAGGGGCAATCTAATGGGAAATTACTGTACTGTGTTTCAGTATGCCAAAGCAAGGGACTTCTGTGTTTTGATGAAAGGGTGTGTAAATTAGAAAACCATGGTTGAGAAATACTACTTCTTTTTTTTTTTTTTTTTTTTTTTTTTTTTTTTTTTTTTTTTTTTTTTTTTTTTTTTTTTTTTTTTTTTTTTTTTTTTTTTGAGAAATACTACTTCTAATTCAGCTTTGTTATTTTAAGCTCTGAGCTACTTTTCTGGGGATAATAAAGATGAAAAAAAAAAAATCAGGACCAAAACCAACAGGAGGAATTAAACCAATCATGGCCAAATGGAAGAGAGGGCTCCATCCAATACATACTGGCTCGGAGCAAAGACTTCACATTCCATTCTCAGTCAGAAATGACAAATAGGAACAATCAAGAAGCAAGAACTTGTCTTCCTAGCACGGGGAGAGCAGTTCCTTTAAAAGGCTATGACACAGGGGCGCCTGGGTGGCTTAGTCGGTTAAGCGTCCGACTTTCGCTTAGGTCATGACCTTGCAGTTCGTGGGTTCGAGCCCCGCGTCGGGCTCTGTGCTGACTGACAGCTCGGAGCCTGGAGCCTGTTTCAGTCTGTGACTCCCTCTCTCTCTGACCCTCCCCTGCTCACTCTTTCTCTCTCCTAGAAATAATAAATAAAAAAATTAAAAAAAAAAAATAAATAAAATAAAATAAAAGGCTATGACACCGTTCAGAATATGGCTGGAGGAAAGAGCAGCCTCACATTCAGTAAGGGCAGGTTTCCTACCCTGGTCTCCATGAGGCTTTCTAAGTGCTTCACTGTGAAGACGCCTCCCTCCGCTCTCAGGCAGATGCTCGGAGTCCACACACACGCGCGCGCGCGCACACGCACACACATACATGCGCACACACACACGTGCGCCCCCACCCACGTGCACACACGTGTGCCCCCCAAACGCGCACACACACGCATGCGCACACGCACACCCATGCACGCGACAGAAACTCCCGAAGGGAGAGCATGATTGTGACCACGGAGAAGGGCAATCTAGGCCCCACATACATACCTATTGTAGGAGAGAAAGGCCAACAGAAACAGCAGGCATGCTAGCACGTCAGCTCTGCCAACAATCCCAGCCACCTAGAACGTTTGAAAAAATAAAACCCTCAGAAAGTCACTTTCAGAAAACCGTTACAGAAATGGATTCTCTTTTCGAGGAATGAAAAGCGTGATAAAATAAGAAAACACATTCTTCTTCAAAATTTGACTTAGGACTTACCACCCCTGGTTATCAGATATAAAACAGTAAGTTTATAGGAGAAGGGGAAAAGAAAGGGAAGGAAATGATTTTCATGCTTAATTTCATTTTAACCTTTCTTCTACAGAAGGTCAATTCATAATCACCAAAGTTTATTCCCTTGCTGATTTATTCAAAAATACTTTTTGAGCAATGACTGGGTGCCAGACACTGGGCTAGTCTTCGGGCACCAGAGTGCTAATGGAGCAGAGGATATTTACAGAGTACTAGGAAAAAATAAGTCTAGGAAACAATAATTTTGGTAAAAATAGGAGTGAGTACAAACTCTTAATGGCCATGTAGTGTATGTGTGTCTGTGTTGGTGTGTTTCTTAGTTCTGTCACTGAAAGAGCCTAAAAGCAAGCTACCTCAGTAGCAACGAGCCATCACGGAGCTGACCGCAAACCATTCCTCTCCTAAAGAGAATGTGAGCTCCTTGGAGAAGTGGCTGACCCCAGGGCTGAGGCGAAGGAGATGCAAGAGGAGCGTGGATCATCTTCTCGTGTTAGAAAGTAAGAAAGTGTTCAAAAAGGGACAGGGACAGGGGCACCTGGGTGGCTCAGTCAGTTAAGCATCTGACCTCAGCTCAGGTCATGATCTCACAGTTTGTGAGTTTGAGCCCTGTATCGGGCTCTGTGCAGAAGGGTTCAAAGCCTGGAGCCTGCTTCAGATTCTGTGTCTCCTTCTCTCTCTGTCCCTCCCCCACTCACGCTCTTTCTCTCTCTCAAAAATAAATAAACATTAAAGGTACATGTCAAAAGGATACAGAAGCTGATGATAAGGGGCTCCCACTGACCAAATATCAGACCGTTTGAACATCAAAATAAATAAAGACAATAATAAAATAGACCATTTTAAAAAAAACAGACACCCATGAATGCATACTGATACTGATGGATGGATGAATGAATGCATATATAAGTACATACATAAATACAGTAAGCAACTAAATGGAAAAGAATAGAAAGCTCTTCCTTACATTAAAAAAGCAAGTTAATGAATGTAGAGGCAATAGTGCAGTTGGCAAATAGCCATTTTGTGTCCAAAAGAGTCAAGATTAGATAGAGCAAGAAACATCACAAAATACTAGTGGATGCTAAATCTGGGGTATAAAGATTTGATGAGGCAAAGCATATTAGTAGGGCTTCAAACCATGTCCTCATCAATTACTTGTTAAATGAAAAAGTAAAAAGAATAACTATACTATGGAGAAAATGCATTACACCTTAACTGGGGATTCAAATTTGACTTCACCAATAAAGGGCCAATGGATTTTGCATGTCTCTGCACGTGATACCCTGAGAAGGGCACAACATCACTTTTGTCAAATTCCAGCCAAGGATACATAACCTGAATGTAATCATGAGAAAACATCAGACAAACCCAGGATGAGGAACATTCTATTAAATACATAAATAAATATATTTTATACTAACAAAGTATAAAATACAACAATCATACATTATCTTATAACATTAAAATTCTAATATTTTAATATTTTCTAATTTATACTGTATCATGATTTATCATATTATAACTTCTATAATCTAATGTATTATAATACTACATATATAATATTATTACATTTTACAGGTATATACCTGCATAATATACTACATGTGCATATATTATGTATTTATATCTTATATGTTTTATATTTTTACATATTCATATATTATATATTTGCATACAATATATATAGTTATACTATTTTATTTATATATTATAAATTTCAACATACAAATCATGTGTTATACTTTACATTATATATAATAATCATTTGATATAATGTTTCATATATACTATATAACATCAATTGCAATGTTATAATATATAAACATTTTATATCATGTACATTAAATAGAAGTTATAAATTATATTTAAAGCTGTGAATTATATTACAAAAAGACAAATGAAGACTGGTAACTACTCCAAACTTAAGGAGACTGAAGAGAATGACTAATGGCCTTGGTTTTAGAAAATACACAACTAAATTATTCCAGTGCAAAGAGGCATGAATTATGCAGCCTACTCTCAAATGCTTCAGAATACCAATAATATTTTTATACATTAAGAGAGAAAAAGAGAGGAAGAATGACAAAACAAATGTGGCAGAATATTAAAAACTGATGAGTCTGGATAAAGAGAATATGGTCACTGTATTTTTGAAGTTTAAAAAAACTTTTTTAATGTTAATGGAAGACGGGTGGAGGACAGACAGCTTTTCATAAATCTTTGTATTATTTCACTACTACTTAAAATGTGTGTGCATTTCTCTTACTTTTCTGAAATCCAAGAAATAAAACTGTAAAGGAAAAACATGGGGTATGGTTCAAAGTATGCTTCCAATAAGGCCACATACAAGCTGAATCTTAAAGAGGAGTCAGAGCTCACAAGGGAAATGAACAGGATTGACATTTCAGGCACAGAAAACAGCATCGCCTGAACCACAGAGGACCTGAAGTCCACAGTGTGTTAGAGACTCAATCATAATTAATAGTGGAAAATAGTGTTGTGGGAAATACACCTACAAATGCTCATATACTGAGCATACTTTGCAGTTATAGAGGAGAGGGAATGGACACATGCATAGAACTAGACCATCCAAGGCTTGAATATAGACTCATTCTCTTGCCTTTTGAGTGAGACTTAATGTTATATTTAACTTCTGGGATTTGGTTTTGTTATCTTTAAAATGAGCATAACACCCACATCACATGTTACTGTTTTAATTAATGAGATGACACATACATAAAGTACCCACTCAGTGTCAGTGGCCTTTCTTCCTTTTCCCTACAGTGAAAGTGGGTGGGATTCAGCACTGAAATGGGTTTTCCTTTGGGGCTTATATAAATCATCGTTTTTTGTTAAAGTTTACATGGAGGATATTTTAATTTAACTTTATTAGATAAATGAATATATTAGTTAAAATATAAATAGAAAGTAAGTTAATTATATACCTGCATAAGGATGGACAGCAAGTCACACACTGAGAAAAATTCTAGTCTAATGTACACCAAGAGAAACCTGGATAGAGCCAAAGAATTACACTAGCAGTACAGAGTTAAAAAGCTATTAGCTAATGTGGCCGCCTGGACTACACACTGTTTATTGATCCATCCATCTATAAGGAATTTGCATGCCAAATCAGGAAGACTGCATGACTCAAAGGAGGTACGCAGTGACAATATGGTGTCACCTCAGTGTCAAGAACCAGTTCAGACTCACAATCTGTAAAGCAACAATTGCACACAGTTCACTTGTGAACTCAGATCCGCTCAGTCTACACCACCACGTCTCTGAGCACTGAGCTCAGTATCACCTGCGAGACCTCTAGAAGATTAAACAGAGAGCCCAACCACTAGCAACAAAACCTTGAGAGAAGGCCACACATCTGGACCCAGAGGGACACTCATCACAGCACAACTGATGTGGCCAAATCACACAACACCAAGACGTGCAAGCTGATATTGGGTGTAGCAAGTTGGAATGAGGCAATCATAAGCTGGGCGAGCATAACTAATGTGATAAAGGCGCCTGAAGCCTACTTCTCAAATTGCAGCCAGTTAGTGCTGCTGGGAAGCAGCAGCAGCAACAGAATGTGCCAGCTGGATGTGCCCAGATATAAAGAATGTAGTGTCCCTCAGAGCGGAAGCTCAGAGGGGTTGTTGAAATGTTAGTGCTAATACTGAGAGTCTCTGCGGCCAGTTTCAAACTGCCATGCATTATACTGAACACCTACTCTACATATCCCTGCTGAGCTGGGGTTTCTGGGACAAGAGAGTTAGAGGTCTTAAAAAACAAGGTGCTTGTCATCAACTACTATATGTCAAGACCAACCACTCACTTCCACTGTGATTCAATTAGTCAGTATCATCATGTTCAGTAATTGCATGATTTATTCCACTCGACAAACATTTTCCAAGTGCCTCCTATTTGCCGGGTACTGTGGCAGCTGGAGGGATATAACCTGCCTCATGAAGTTTAAAACATCTGGTGGGGAGTCAAAAGAGGGTGTCACTATGATACAAGGAAACTGCATGTATCATAAAGAGGAGAAATCATTGCCATGAGAAGAATGGAGGGATTAATTTTGACTGTAGAATCTGGGAAGGCTTCATAGAAAGGCTGATGTTACACATTAACATCTAAAGGACAGGCAAGAAGGGCTCAGTAAGCTCAAGACAGACAAATGTGAATCTTGGGCCAGGAAAGGAACACAGAAGCACTCCAGGCAGAGGAACGAGCAGTCTGAAGACATAGGAGGTGTTTCTGGAAGGGAAGGCATAAAGGGGTGAAAGCATGGAGTAAATGAAAGTGGACAGGAGTGGACAATGGGAAGAAAACTGAGATGTTAAGTTGGAGCTCCTGGGTTTGATTCTATGGCAATGTAGGCTGAACTGTAGGGTGCTCGAAGGTACAAAGGATGCAGCCAAAAATACAAGCAGATGGAGAGCATGTACTTCTGCCTCAAGCTGCAAGTTACATCACCAACTGAGTAGTTTTAACTTGGGAACTGAACTCTGTAATAAATACTCAAGTAATCGAAAAAATTAGTGAACATCAGGTAAAATGCAAACAATGTGACATTGAGATCTGGGTCCTAGTGAGCTTAATAGAATCACATGTGGAAATTACCAATTAAGAATTTAATTTGTACCCAAAACTTGTTATTTCTTAGAATAACAGTCATGGGACCTGTATAAAGTATTGCATGTGTATCAAGTTATTGATTATTCTATCTGCAAGAATGAGTCCCATTAGTGTCAGACAGGGACAGGAAACACACACTTAACACATCCAATAGCTGAAAACCTGACTGGCTAATTAGATCATGACCAGTTCTCTCCTACGTGCTCTTGTCCCAGTTCTGGAATCGTTGACCTTAACCGTCAACTCCCTGTGTCAGCATTTCCTGCTCTTGCTTTTGACTTGACATAAGTGAATTCCTTTCAACCAATAACGTTTCTATAATGATTGCTAAGTTTTAATTCCCACGTGGGAATTACAATGATATTCCTCATTTTCCTAAGCTCTCTACTTATTTTTCTCATGATTCAGGATTCAGAAAAGCATACCAACTTCCCATTATTTCCCAAGAAATATACTGTCAGAAAACCCTTCTGGGCCACCTGGGTGGCTCAGTAGGTTAAGCATCCGACTCTTGATTTTGGCTTAGGTCACAATCTTATAGTTTGTGGAATCAAGCCCCAACATTGGGCTCTGCACTGACAGCAGGGAGCCTGCTTAGGATTCTCTTTCTCAACTTCACTCTCTGCCCCTCACCTGCTCACTCTCTTTCTTAAAAAAAATAAAATAAAATAAACATTAAAAGAAAACTCTTCCAAGAATCACAAGGACTCCAGTGAAGAAATGTCTTAGTCATTTTGCTATACCTCCTGAACTGACTATATTACAGTCACTCAAATATTTGTTGAAAGATTAAATAAATAAATGAATTTGTTCCTACATAATTAAATTGGAAATTTTATTACAATATATTGTTTTATCTCATATGTATTTATGGTTATGTTCTTTGGCTTTTTTAGGAGCTTGTGAACAAATTATGGGTAGAGGCCCCTTATTCACCCACATACCCTCTTGACACCTAGCACAGTGCTTGCAACAAACAAGTATTCATTTACTATATGCTGTTACATAATTAAGGAAGCAAATCTTTGATCAAACCAACATGTTGAAACTAAACCTCACCCCCCATGGGGCGCCAAGGTGGCTCAGTAAGTTAAGTGTCTGACTTCAGTTCAGGTCATGATCTCATGGTTCAGTTCTTGAGTTCTGGCCCCACATAGGGAAAACTGGAGCCTGCTTCAGATTCTGTGTCTCCCTCACCCTGTGCCCCCCCTCCCGCTCACCTTCTGTCTCTCTCTTTCTCAAAAATAAACGTTTAAAAAATCGTTTTAACCCCTCCTCCCAGAAATGTAAACCCTCCATCTTTCCTGTGATTACTTATGGTCCCATTTTTGTTCTTGTTTAACAAAAGGGAGATACATCCCTCTAACTCTCCCTCCAGCCATACTATGATCTATTTTCTTTTTTTTAAATAATTTATCACTAAGTCTTCTACAACACCTTTTTTCTAATTTCCTATCTTCTTCAATAGAAACCTAAACTACTACCTATAGCTGAATAATAGTCTTTTGATTTTGCTTCCTAGTATACACTGTTATATAAGTCAAATTTCTTCACTTTCTTCACTTCCTTCCTATAGTCCTCTCATTCCTTGTGAATACAAGCAGTTTCTTTAAACTTCTTCCCTAAATGTCCAGCTCTCAGACTCCTTTGAATTGTGTTATCATGGATTTTTTTTTATTAGAACAAAAGCTTATTGAAAACTTTTCTTTTAAGTCTATTTATTTTTTTTATTTTATTGTAATATGTTTTATTTATTTTTTTATTTATTTTTTACAAATAGTTTATTGTCAAGTTGGTTTCCATATAACACCCAGTGCTCATCCCCACAAGTGCCCTCCTCCATGCCCATCCCCCCTCCCCCCCATACCCATCAGTCCTCAGTTTTTGTCGGCATTCAAGAGTCTCTCATGGTTTGCCTATCCCCCCCACCCCCACTATTCCCCCCTTCTTCTCCCCCATGGTCCTCCGTTAAGTTCCTCCTAATCCTCCTGTAAGTGCAAACATATGGTATTTGTCCTTCTCTGCCTGTAAGTCTATTTATTTTGAGAGAGAGAGGGAGCATGAGCTCACAAGCATGGGTGGTGGGGAGCAGAGAGACGGAGAGAGAGAATCCCAAGCAGGCTCTGCGCTGACAGTGCAGAGCGCAATGCAGGCCTCAAATTCACAAAACGTGAGATCATGACCTGAGCTGAAACCAAGAGCTGGATGCTCAACTGACTGAACCTCCCAAATGTCCCCTTACTGAAAACTTTTCTTAAAGGTCACTTTGCTAACAGTATTTTTCTTTTTTCTTAGACCTCGACCTAACTCTACCAGCTCATGATCTCACTGTCCAAGGTAACCTGCTCTCCCTCTTTGCAAGCATAGAATTAAGACTGGTATTGTCCTATTCACTTATTCTTTCCTGTGAAAATGTTCTCCAAGACACTCCGTACACGTATTTTCAACTGTACTTTGACCTGGCATCATATATTCTCTATGGCTAGGAGCAGTAGTCTTTGATTATTTCTCTTCCAAAAAAAAATGTCAAAAACTTATGTATCTCTCTCATCTTTTAAAATTCATATCTAAATTTTTTTATCATAATTTTAAATACTTGCAAGGATCTAATTTCTCATGTATTGTAAATACTGATATTTTAAAATAAGTCCATAATATTATCCTTTTAAAAGTATCAAATGGAAGCTGGAATGTACCACAGCAATTTGAAGCTCATTATTCTCCATTTATACAAACATGAACAGGCTCTTTATTAAATGATGGACATTTCATGCCCATTTCCCCTTGAACTCATATTTCTATTTTATCTCCCCCTCAGCATTGTTTCTTAATGTACTATATAGTTATTATATAATATATACAGTTATATATTCTACTTACCATCTTCTCTCAGTAATAAAAATACTTATATATTTAAATCTATTGAAAACTTCCCTGTGATCACAACTGTTAAATTTTCAATTTTATATTACTATTCTACTTAGTATTAATGCACAATTGTTTAATATATCACAAATTATAAAAAATAATAAATAGCTCTTGGATATAAAAATACACTTCTTAATAACAGGTACAGCAGGTTTGTGGTCAATTAGTTCAATTATCTATGACCAAATATTACAACTGGTTAGAATAAGAAAAAATGCAGTATCAGGTCCATTCCTAGCTTTCATCTTTATAGACTGTTCACATAAATAAATGAGACAGAAGTAGCCATATTATAGCAGTGACTCAACTCTTTGAATATAAGATCATCTGCAAAATCATAGTGATCTATCATATTAGATAATGTTTAATGATCTACCAGTTGACAATTCAATCAGTTCCTCCTTTAATTTGGTTGAAAGCAAATAATTTCAGCACAGCCATCAGGAGAGTTATCAGTCATACGAGTCATTTGCTTTCATAGATTCTCAGAAGTACAGCAAAAATGGCTTCACCAAGACTTTCCAAAGGACCATTACTTATATACCTCATAGTCTTGCACTTAATGGCACCTTTCCAGTCCAAAATACTCAAGAAAGGGCTAGAAAATTTACCTTAAGTAATTTTTTATAAAATTATTTTTTTCTTTGTCACTCATTCCAAATATATTTGTATCAAAACCTTGGGCTTATAGATTTACAATACTGTTTGTGGAAAATATTCATTATATAGCCTAACTGGCAAAACCAGTCCTCATTATAAAACCAAATGGCCAAATCAGACTTCTTATGTTCAAATGAACATATTATTATGCATTCCCATGACAACCATCTCACTTCTGAATTCAGAAGATCAACACAGGTCCCCATACCCTATTTCTAATGTCATGCTCTATTCTTCACAGAAATATGTGTAAGAACAGAGAGTGATATGAAGCCCTACTTCGGGTCTATGATGCCTTAACTGAAGATGGCTTTGCTGACACCAATATATCAAATTGTTTCTTTGTAAGGTACCTCAGAGATTACTACACCTGGGGCATAGTAAAAATCTGATGTATTTGAGACATTCCTTTTTGCTTTTCAATGAGGAAGGATAATTGAAAGGGGAGGAGGTGAAGTGGGCCTGCATGGTTCAGTTGGTTGAACATCTGACTCTTGATTTCAGCTCAGGTTATGGTCTCGCAGTTGGTGAGTTCAAGCCCCTCATCAGACTCTGCACTGACAGTGTGAAGCCTGTTTGGAATTCTCTGTCTCTGTCTCTCTCTCTCTCTCTGCCCCTCTCCCTCTCTCTCAAAATAAACAAATATTTTTTTAAAAAAAATAAAGGAGAGGCGGGAGAGGAGAACTAATTTGACACGTTGACCCTAGGCATGTTCTCAGACAAAAAGACTGTAGGAAAGTGTCCAGATACGAAGCACCGAGAGAAAAGGTAAAATACAAATGGAGAGCAGGAACAATGCCTCGGCAGGACAAGTCTCTCAAAATGCCCTGTGTTGTTTAAAACACATTAGTACTTACATTTTGTTCAGATAAACTCCAGCTATTTATTACTATGTGTAATAATAACAGTGGTTATTTAAAAAGGCAGTTAAATTCTAAAGGCCATTTGAACATTCAAAAAGAAGAGATGTCAACCAGAATGATTTATACATAAAGACAAACACTCTACTGGTGCCTTGAATTCACATGGTTTTAAAAGGTTCGGTTTCTGGTTTTTTAGTTTTTTGTGTTTTTGTGTTTTTTGTTTTCTTAGTTTATTGTTTCACTGAGTTCCAGGGATACTCACTGCCTCCGTGTGGATAGGATGCACAGCAAAAAGTAGTGCCGTAGCAAAAGCAAGTCTGCGATTCCTGAAGACAGCTTGGTCACAGGTGTACATCAGGACAAGAGTCACTAAACAGTGTAAAATCACGTTCACTGCATGAAAGTAGAATGGGTTCATACCAGTCAAAAATATGTTCAGCCTGTAAAAAAAGACAAAAACAAAAATGGAATCAGCCACAAACAGAAAACATAAGCACATGGAAAGAAGAGGGAACTGATCATTTAAAAAAGGTAAGCTATTCAATCAACTATTTTTAATGGATGACTCCCAACATCGGGTTACTCTAGATGCACGTATCATTTTTTCCCTATTTCAGAATTTTCCTATCTGCAAAACTCACTGCAAAAGCAATACAATGTTATTTCCAAAAACCCTGTGGCCTCACTGAGAAGGCAGGCAGCTAGGTGCTGAACCTGTTTCTCCTTCGCTCTGTGACTAATGCAAACAGCCCCATGCGACTCTTGCTTTCACTGCCAGCTCTTCCCAAGGAGCTGAGTGTTCAAAAGCAAGTCCACAATGCTCTGGGTCAGAGTCACAGCCACTGGAGGGGAGAAAAAAGCCACGAGACTGTGACTGTGGGTCACAGTTGGGACAAATCAAGCATGAACATGGTCTCTCACCCAGAGTACTCACCAGGAACTGAATTTCCAGACTACGCACCGGGAATGATCGTTAATTACCACCCCACAAGGGACCTCCAGCACACCTGAAGACACTATTACCGGCTGCAGCTGAAATTAAAAGGCTGAGCAAAAGCACAGCATTTCAGAATTTGTATTAAATGTTTTCTAACACAAATTCCCACAGATCTCAAAATCTAAATTCTAAGATTATGATGAAGAAACTAACGAGAGTCACAAAAAGTAGGGAAATCCATTGTTCAACATCCTTAAAAATACTTTGCTAAGATAGAAATGAAGAACAGAGAAACTTCTGAAGGTTGCCTTAAATTTAATAACAGGACATAATGTTCCCAATGGACTCTGTAGAGTTACAGCAAAAATAATTGTATAGGGTATGATTCTTTTGGAGGAGCATATATACCCTAAGGGGGATTGCCTGTAGTTGTCTATATTCCAGTTTATTTTACTGAAACAGTAATCCCATGTCTTTATTCTCATGCCCTTGATCCGTTTCTCTTATAGAAACACCTCCTCTTTGCCAAAACAACTGAAAAGGTAAAAATCAACTTTAGCAATGGCATATGCATATTCTAAATACTTGACTTGATTCATGCACAAATTTAACAGAATTTTAAACATCTCAAGCTTTATTTGGACACCTGAATATAAATGACATAGTTACTAATTGACTCCATTTTCATTCCCACTGAAGTAATCATGGTCCTAACTAAGCCTAGAAAAAATGAACTGCTTTGTGGAATCCAGCTTCAGGGAACCAAGGCAAGGTTGTTCAAGGCAGCTATATGTCGGCAGACCTGCCACTCTGCATACACCTCAGAGTCCTTCAGACAGGCGTGTAGTGCGAAACGGCCCATCTAGAGGGAAAGAGGAATGGGCAGGTGCAGCTAGAGAACGGAGATTCACATCCCATTCCAGTACAAGAGGACCCACCTATGGTGAGAGAGCTGCTGGAAATCAAGAAGCTCCAGATGGTGGAGCTGTGAGAAGGGCAAGACCAGGTCCCTATCCTCGGAGAACTTAGGTGCAGTTCCCAGAGAGCCCATCTTCCTGAAGCTGATTTTACACCACTGTCTACTTCACCAAGCCAAGCTTTCCTGACCAACTAAGCCATTCATTTAAAGTTCATTCACACCCATGACAAAAGAAACAAAACAGGCAATCTATCTCACAACCACTGGGAAGGTCTCAAATTTGTCAGTATTTAGCAAAGGCTTTAAGAAGTACCTAACTTTTGAGTGGCTCAGTGGGTTAAGCCTGACTAAGGCTCAGGTCATGATCTCACGGATCATGAGTTCAAGCCCCTTGCCAGACTATGTGCTGACAGCTCAGAGCCTGGAGCCTGCTTCGGATTCTGTGTATGTGTCTCTCTCTCTGCCTGTTCCCCACTAGAGCTTTGTTTCTCTCTCAAAAATAAATAATACACATTAAAAAAAAATTTTTTAAAAAGAAGTACAAGAAGTACATAACCTTTGATCAAAAATTCCACTTCTAGGAATCTTCCATGAGGAAATAACCTGAAGTGTTCAAAGATAGATATAGATACAAATATAAATAGATATGATATTGTGATATAATAAATATGTATTTTGGTCTTCATCCCAACTCCTGGTAGAGATGGTAAAATCTTTGTAATTTTTTAAGTGATAAAGATACTAGGAGTATCTTTTGTTCTAATATTTGATATTTGGCCCTGGTTCCTGATACAGAACTCCTAAATCCCTTGGAACTTCCTAAGTGATAGGATTATCTTTCGCTCTAAGGTGACTCTTGGTGGGCTCCTGGACGGCTTCGGGATGGTGGCTGGTCAACAGAAAGATCAAGTTATGATTAGAAGCTTAGAACTTTCAGCCTTTCTCCCCCTCCACCCCACCCCAGGGATTGGAGAGGGGCTAGAGATTAAGTTAATTATAAGTGATGCCTATGTGATGAAGCCTCCATAAAAATCTCAGAACTACAGGTTTTGGGCAACTTCCACACTGCTGAGCACATCCACATGCTGGGCAGGTAACACACCTCAATTTCCAGGGACAGAGCATCCCATCCAAGCATCTCTTCATTTAATTATTCATCTATATCCTTTATTCTATAATAAGCCAGTAAACATTAAGTAAGTGTCTCCTGAGTTCTGTGAGCCATTATAGCAAATTATGAACCTGAGGAGGGGGTCATGGGAACCCTGATTTACAACCATGTTAGACAGAAGTGTGGCAACCTAGGGACCCATGACTTGTAAGTGGTGTCTGAAATGGGGTCAGTCTTGTGGAAATGAGACCTTAACCTGGGGGATCTGATGTTAACTCCAGACAGACAGTGGCAGAATTAAATTGAATTGCAGGATACCCAGATACAGTGTCTCAGGGCACTGAGAATTGGTCACTGTGGAAAGAAGCCCTACATATCTGATATCAGAAGTATTGAGTATAAGCAGAAGAAGAAATAGGACTTTTCTTTTTAGTATACAAGAATGCTTCTTACTGTGATAATCATAAGATGACAATAGAGAGAAGGCAAAACATCTAATAAGCCAAATCCCACAGATATTATACTTCAAATCACATTATAATTCTGGATTACAAATTAACAGCACTGCTTTTAAAATGAGAACAAAAGACTTATTATTTTTCCAAAGCTTTTGCTATCCAACCACTTGAAAACTAAAAAGCATCATTTAAGATGTTATTAGTATATTGTCACACTTTTATGAGGTGTGTGATATACCTCTTCTAAAAATGATACAAAATGATAGGCATGAGTCACCTTTGTAATCCACATGCATCATATCTGAAAATGTACAGGTGCTATCCATACAGATTATTGGGGAGGGTTAATTTGAGTATAGTTGACACCCAATATTACATTAGTTTCAAGTGTACAACATAGTGATTTGACAAGCTTATACTTTATGCTATTATGTTTACTGCAAGTATAGCTACCATCAGATTATTATTCCTAGAAACTGGTTAAGGCAGAATGTGTAGTGCTTTAAGTGAATTCATTTACACCCCAAAATCTAAAAATAATTTACTGAATGGGGAACCACTGCAGTGCTAAGGTAACTGAAAGCCTCTCACATGGTACCAGATACTGGCAAATCTTTAAGAAATTACTTAGAATCTGAAGTTAGGAGAATTATCCAAGTATCAAAAAAGATAGAGAGTGAACTCTCCAAACTATATACAAGTGATCTTAAGATGAAATAATAACAGGGGCGCCTGGGTGGCTCAGTCGGTTGAGCGTCCGACTTCGGCTCAGGTCATGATCTCACAGTTCGTGGGTTCGAACCCCACATCGGGCTCTGCGCTGACGGCTAGCGCAGAGCCTGGAGCCTGCTTCACATTCTGTGTCTCCCTCTCTCTCTGACCCTCCCCCACTCATGCTGTCATTCTCTCTCTCAGAAAAAAAAAAAGATGAAATAATAACAAAATATTATTTGTGAGCATTGGAAAAACAATCTCTGATCCTAGGAGCCAATATGGGTTCACAAAAAGAGAATTTAACTGATTAACCTCACATTTTAATAGGGCAGGGAATGTGACAGTCACATCCCTATCTTTATTTTAACAAAAGCATTTATCAAAATCTTTCAGAATCATCCTGTGTACAAGATACAAGAAGATGGATTTGTAGCAAACACAAAGAGTAGTGAATAATAATCAATGTCTCCTTAGATGGAGACCTTCAGTGTAAGTTACAAGACTCTGACATTATCTTTGGTCTGTCCAATATTTCTATCAAAGACTATCTGTATTATATGCTAACCAAGCTTGCCAAAAAGCTGTTATCTGGGAAGAAGAGTCATTGTACTGGGAGACTAAGATTCACAAAGAGTTTAAATGCCTGATATTGTTAATTAATTCTTACAGGATTACACAGAATATGGGTAAGAGCAAAATTCCATATTTAGACATAAAGGAGAACAAAATACTTGCAATCTAGACTAAAACTATTCACATAGTATTGTCCAAGGACTTTTAGTTTACTCTAAACTCAAAGAGTTACTGTATCCTGGCTATCAAAACAGAGCAAACCACAGACAGGGGTCTGTTGAAATCCAACTAGCTTTCATTTCAATTCACTCTAACAGATATTTATTGAGTACCTACTACATGTCAGGTGTGATGTAGGGCCCAGAGATACAAAGAGAAGACATGGCATCTGCTACCAGAGTAAGAGAGACACTAAACAGATAACTAACAGTGAAAGAAATCTAGCAATGAGAGAACCTACCAGGTGCAGAAAGAGGAAAGAGGAAGACATTCTGCCTGCATGTGGGACAGGTAAGATGGGTGGTATCCAATGTGGGGCAGCAACCCCTCTGGGTGCCACCTAAATGCTGGAGCATCTTCAGAGGAGAGCTCCAGGATGCTGAAGGATGGGGAGTCTCAAAGTGATGTCCCAGGAAGGTAGGCTTGAGGAAGTGGAGGATGCTCAGCCTAGAGAAAGGTGACAGAAAGGATACCAAATTCTCCAAAGGAAATGATCTTTGCCATGTTAT